GATCGAGTTACATTTGGAATTTAATCACTTTCTTTCTTTTTAACGTTTGGATGCATTCGACAATGTCCTTGTTTACGGGTGGATTTGATTTAATGTTTACTAGTGACTTTTGGCTTTTCAGTAACAAGATATGGGTTCACGGGTTTTATTGCAGATCAAGTGTTCGTTGAAATGTCTCACTGTACCATCATCTCATTCTCCTATGCTATGGCTGCTGCTACTTCTCCTCTTTACCATCTGGTAATTTTATTATGGACTCACTCAACTCAATCAAATTGACTGTAAAAGGAATTTCTGATTCAATTTGAAGTCATTTTTTACTTTATTAGAAGTAACAATATGAACATAGTCTAGAAATAATTTAAGATAAGAAAAAACATAGATTTTTGTGCCAATGGGTCCATGTGATTCAAGAACAATGGAGGAGTTAGAGGGACGGTCAACAACTCCGAGTTGCTTACTAACAAGCGGAAGAAATCTATTAACCCCACTAATTAATTAACAAATGTTGCTTATTATCTCATACTACATCTTTAGTTGTTAAAACTCATGAATATATGCATAAATGAATAGACCCATCTGCTAATCTAATAAAAATAGGTATTATTTTAATACACATTTACATACTATTATAGTTTACATAATGTTTATTTAGTGTGGTCACCTTAACCACCATAGTAACTTTGGTTTTTTAAAGGCAAAATGACTATTGTCACTTTTTCTATTTTGATTTTTGACTTATCTATGTAGATCACTAGCTTTCTTTTCTTTTTTTCTTAGCCGATTTGGTTGGAAATTTTGACGACTCTCGTGGGGTCTTGTACACATTGGTGACTGGTTTTTGGACACGAGTCTACTCTCTTTCTTCTCACAAACCATTTCCATGAAAACATGAACCATTGCTTACTTTTGTTCTTCAATTGAAACCCACCACGCTTATTATGTCCCTTTTAATGTTAAAAAGCTTCCTCCTTTATTGCTAAAAAAGATTCGCAAGTTTATAGTTTCCGTTGGCTTCTTCTTACAGGTGAAGAAGATTCCACAAAAGTCTCCAACTTTTCACTCTATCTGAGCTTAAAGCTCAAGTTTTTCCTTTTATGGGGTTTCTTAAGCCATGCGGTTTTCTTCGTCGATCTCTTGAAGCATTTACCTTAAATCTTTGATTTCTCTGACTTTTGAGGACTGTTAAAGAGAAAGGAAGAAAAAAGTCAGCTCCTTTGTGGTAATTGTTGAGACAAAAATGGGATTTGGAGTTGGTGGTGTGGCTAGTAGAATGTTGGATTTAAGGATGGTCCAAAACCACAAGCGTTCAAAGAGGTAAACTGTCTACTCTATTGTTCGTTATTTAACAACTACTTCGTTTCCTTCTACTTTGTAGACTTCTCTAAATGTGACTCTATGTTCTGCTTATGGAATCCCTTGCTTTGATGGATCATTGCAGAAATTGGAAATTTGTGAGTTTATGGTTGCAAATCACTCAGATCTTCTGTTAAATAACATTATTTCTGGTCATGAACAAGATAATGAATGAGTCTGTTTAAAATCACTCAGATACAAAATGGATTTGAGAGAAACTCTTGCTAAATGCTTATGTAGTGATAAAAGTGTAAAAACTGTGTTTTTTAGAGTGGCTTTCATGCAATCTGTTTCCAAAAGGTAGAATGAATCTCTTGAGTATCTTTTTATTCATGCCTTTTTCAATTGATTCTTCGTAATTTCTCTTTCTGTACAGTGCCAGCTTTCCAGAAATGAAAAGAGCTGAGGAAGATAAAACCTCAAATAGTAGTTCTCTTGAAGCCTCTCAACGCATCAAGCTGGTGAGTAGGATCATCTTTTTACATGTGAAAGTTGTGATAAAGTGTATTGGTATTTGGTAAAAGAACAGCCTAAGACGCTGATACATGATTCTTGCCTTCTTGGAATTATCTCTCTGTTTCTTTGACTAATAAGTATCTTTTTCTCTCTTTTTTCACTTCCCAAGCTGCTTTTTTCTTTTGTATCTTTTTTATGAAAACCCTTTACACAAATGTTTCGCTATACTTCTTTGTATCCTTCTTATTTGTCTTACGTTTTTCCTTTCTGGTATTAAGCTTTTAGAAACTAATCTCTCACTCACATAAATGGAATAGAGTCCAAAGCTGTTTATTTATCTTATAAGACCTCTTCTGAGAAGGATTATTGTTTGTGTATCTTGTCTGATTTTGGTTTAGGACATGGGTCGTCCAAATGAATCAACCAGAACCAAGCATAAGCAAGTTCCTTCGATCACCGAAACTTCATTGAAGCAAGAGGTAATGTGTACGTTTTTTAAACTTGATTCATGTCCTTGTTTGGTTAATTAGGCTCAATTACCTTATCTTTTTATTGGAATCACAGATTAATCAGCTCGAGACTAGTTTAGAAGATCAGTTTAAGGTTCGTTGTGCCTTAGAGAAGGCGTTAGGTTATCGAACAGCATCTGCTTACTTATTGAGTGAAACCAGCGACATTCCCATGCCTAAGGTCAGTTACTTTCATTTCCCAAAAGTATACATTTCTTAAATGAGCCTTGCATATATAAAGATGTGTTCTTGGTTTAAATTTACTTCAGCCAGCTACTGATTTGATCAAAGACATTGCGGTTCTGGAGATGGAAGTTATACATTTGGAACAGTATCTTCTTTCATTATATAGAAAAGCTTTTGAGCAGCAAGTCACTTCTGTATCTCCAAATTCAGTGAACAAGAAGAAGCCAAAATCTCCTCCTGAAGCAACCCCTAGAAGGCGTCTAGACTTTTCTGAAGATGATGACACGCCATCGAAAACAGATCTGCCTACTAATCCTCTGCTTGATGATAATCAACATCAACCAAAGGAAACCGAGATTCCTGCGGGAGGCCGAGACCAAATGGACCCTAGTTTTCATCGTAGCCGCTCTCAGCGTTCAGCATTTGAAAGTAGAAGAACTTCTCCAGAAGATTCTTGGAGTAAAGCCATCCGCTCTTGTCACTCCCAACCGCTGTATGTGCAGAATGGAGAAAATCTAATCAGTCTGGCTGAACATCTTGGCACCCGAATCTCGGATCATGTTCCAGAGACACCCAACAAGTTATCTGAAGGAATGGTTCAGTGTATGTCAGAAATATACTGCAAGCTTGCAGAGCCACCTTCTGTACTACAACACAGCCTTTCATCTCCAAACTCATCTTTATCATCGAGTGCATTTTCGCCCTCTGACCAATACGATACATCGAGCCCTGGATTCGGAAACGACTCTTCTTTCGATGTACGGCTAGATAACTCTTTCCATGTAGAAGGACAAAAGGACTTCAGTGGACCTTACAGCACCGTGGTTGAAGTGCTTTGCATTTACAGAGACGCCAAAAAGGCCACTGAGGTCGAAGATCTTCTGCAAAACTTCAAGTGAGTCGCTTTTAGATTGGCTTAGAGACGAAAGTTGGTTCTTTGTACATTTGAGTTGATCCACAAGAGGGTAGAATTTTGATTGCTAGTGGATTTAGGATTTATTGATGCACAATCTTGAAATGTTTTAAACTCTTGCAGGTCACTCATCAGTAGATTGGAGGAAGTCAATCCAAGGAAATTGAAACATGAAGAGAAGCTAGCTTTCTGGATAAATGTTCACAATGCACTTGTGATGCATGTAAAATCTCTTTCTTTCTGGAATCAATCTCATTTTTTTTACGCTTAGAATTTAAGACCTCTTTAAACAATTTCTTTTGATCTCTTTAGGCTTTTTTAGCTTATGGGATTCCACAGAACAATGTGAAGAGAGTCCTACTGCTGCTCAAGGTAGCAAACATCACTTGCACAGAGAAAACACATGAACCATCATTCTATATTACTAAAAATCGTTCTTTCGCATTGTTTTAGGCTGCATATAACGTTGGTGGACACACAGTTAGCGCCGAAGCGATACAGAATTCGATTCTTGGATGCAAAATGTCTCATCCTGGACAGGTACTTAATAAGAAAAACTCATGAAATTCTGATAAGACTTTCTCTTTAAAGCACAAATCCTAAAGACTTTTTCTTTTCATTTCTCTTAGTGGCTTAGACTACTATTTGCTTCGAGGAAATTCAAAGCCGGAGATGAGAGATTAGCTTACTCGATCGATCATCCCGAACCTCTCCTACATTTTGCACTTACTTCAGGCAGCCACTCCGATCCCCCGGTACTTAAACATTTGATCTTTAACAAACACTTGGAGAATCTGTGAAACCCTTTAATGCCATTAAACCTTAAGTCTCTGTTTCTTGGTTGTGTTGTTGTCATGTTTCAAACAGGTTCGTGTATATACACCGAAACGGATCCAGCAAGAGCTCGAAACATCGAAAGAAGAGTACATAAGAATGAACTTAAGCATCCGCAATCAGAAAATCCTATTGCCAAAGCTTGTGGAGACATTTGCAAAAGACTCCGGTTTATGTCAGGCGGGTTTGACGGAGATGGTTAACCGGAGTATACCGGAATCTTCAAGAAAATGTCTGAAGAGATCTCAATCTAGTAGTAAATCACGCAAGCCAATTGATTGGATCCCTCACAGCTTTACATTTAGATATCTTATTCTTAGAGAAGCTGCCAAATGAAATTATTCCAAAAATTTTTTTATATATGTGTGTGTGAATATATAATAAAAAAATCGCTGTCTATGTCCCAATTTTCTGATTATGAATGATAATGTTGTTTCAGTCTCTGTGATTGGATCTTGTCTACTCACAGTTACTTGTCATTTTCATTATTCTAATTTTGCATGTAAAGTAACAGCTTTTACATGATCATGCAACGGTCAGATATATTATAATGAGTCCGAAGCTGAATCTCACATTATTTGATTTTATTCAAAGATGTGATGATGAAATTACAATTTCTTCTAGTATGGCTTTTGGCCAATTACATTACCCGGAGGATTATAGAAACAAATGGTCAAAACCGTTGACTCGTTCTTGCACGTGCCTTGAGCACAGCCCAGCTCCTTCGAGTCTCTCCACACGACTTGTTTATAGACCCCGCACGTGTGGTTCGGTGCGCACGTGTTCGACTTGTAGTCGTAGAAAGTTTTTTCCTTGACCCAAGTCTCCACCGCAAGAGACGGCGTCACGTCTAAACCCTTAGCCCAGAGCTGGTTCGCGCCGTATTTGCCAGGGTTAAAACTCGCGAACTCACACTTCTTCTCTTCCCTCTGGTAACGAGCTAGCCAACGAGCCGCCGTTTCGAGCGTCTGGTTCCAAACCAGCGGCGAAACACCGACCACGGCTCTGGCTTTGTTGTGCGCGTCGGTGAATGCTTTAGCCGCCGCAGAGATTTTAGGAACGGTTTGTGTGGGTTTCAACAAATTCGCCGGCTGAGAAACGGCGGAGGCGGCGGAGGAGATAAAAAGAAGTGACACGAGGAGGATGATGTGATGAATCGGAGCCATGCTTGGTTGGTTTCGTAACGTGAAATGATCAAGTTTAATTCGTTTATATAGCCATTAATTAAAGTTAT